TAATTAAAATATTAGTCACGATTATTCTGTGGCCTTGCAAATTTCATGGAATAGAGAACAGTAAACCCTCTTCGTGTTGTTTTTAATTTTATAAATTTAGGAAGATTTCCAATTTATTAAAGAAAGTACATTAATTAATTTCTTTACTTTTAACACTTTGTGGTCTGCCGATGGCACTTACACGTTGTGGTCTAATGTCATGGGTGGCCAATAGTATTGCCATATGGTATAGTTTTTTGGTAATGGATACAATAACTAAATAATCACTGGATAACCTATCCAATTTAACGATGTATTTCTTTATATGAAAAACAAGATTGCAAAATGTTTTATCGCTTTGGTAAATAGTGATTTCAGAACTCAACTCAAGGAGGAGATCTACGTGTAATTTACAAGAACTTGTAGCTGGCTACCATAGAATTAGTTTATAGCATTAAAATACAAGTGAAAGATAAAATTGCTTTATAATATCATGTTATTTTCTACTTGTATTAGGTTGAAATATAAATATAAAATGATGTAGAGCTATATTGACAGCATTCAGCTATGGATTTTAAAGCGACATAGAAATATGTTAAGGACTGTCAACCCGTTATGGGACAAACTTACCAAAAAGTATTTAAAAATTCTTATACATGTCCTTATGCTGGTTTTAGTTTTTACATTGGAAATCTCTAAATGAAGTGTCCATTTCATAGGAAAACTTGTTGACTAGGCAGTCTTGGGTGGATTTATATACACCGTGAAACATGGTGACTTAGTCTTCTTGCTGGCCGCAAAGTGTTAAGTCTTTATCAAAATGTGTGTAATAATGGAATAATATGTTAACATTGATTGTTCTCGGTATGCTAGTGGAGACAGTAAAGAAAAGCGTCTTACAGGATCAAAGTCTTCGCGTTCTGGCAAAGATCGGTCAAATAGATCGCGATCGAGAGAACGTAAGGAGAAGGAAAAGGGTGACAGCGATGAATTGCCATTTGACCATACTAAGCTGGACAAGGTAACTTAATATATAAGATCAATTTGTTCCATTCGAAAGCTGTCTTTCAATTTATTAATTTAATTTTCACAGGAGGAAGAACAGAAAAGGTTAGAATTGGAAATGCAAAAACGAAGAGAAAGAATAGAGCGGTGGCGTGCAGAAAGGAAAAAGAAAGAGCTAGAGGCAACCAAGAAAGATGGTAAGGCATCCATTTTAGCAAACCTTCAGCTGCCTATGAAAAAGTGGTCTCTAGAAGATGACAGTGATGAAGAGACTCCTGTTGTTCAGAACAGCAACAAGGAAGTCAAGGAAGAAGGAGACCCGAAAGAAGAAGTTGAAGAGATTAAGGAAGAAACTAAGGGCGAAGAAGAAGAAGTCGATCCACTGGATGCTTTCATGGCAGAAGTATGCGTGCACATTCTTTTACATATCACCTCATATGTTATCACGTTTAATTTATTGAAAACGTTGTCAAAATAATTGTGTATAAGGAATGTATGCTATTTAAGTGGTCATAGGAGGTAAAGTTCAATAATTAAGAACTGCAGTATGTTGTTTTGAATTTGTCAGTGAGTCGTCTACGATTTAGAAGAGGACCTATTTAAATTGTTATTAAAAATTTAAATGATCTCCATCTCCAGACTAAGTGTTATAAGTAATATAAACAAAAAAAAGAACTGTAGAGAGATTAATTTTTCAACTTAGATCCTTATAATTGCTAAAATAATGTACACTTCTTATACATAATTTTTTATCGACTTTATGCGTGAATATAATAAAATAAATTGTTCGTTGAAACAGGTTCAAGAAGAAGTCAGAAAAGTAAACAAACTCGACAACAAAGGTTCAAAGAATACAAATAATGGCACAGGTACAGGAGGTACTCAAAGCGGAGGTGTTGTTATCGTCACCGGCGTAGCCAAGAAGAAAGTGCAGAAACAGAAAGGAGAACTTATCGAACAGAATCAAGACGGTTTGGAATATTCTAGCGAAGAAGAAGGAGAAAACCTACACGAAACAGCAGCTGGTATAGCGAATAAACAGAAACGAGAACTAGCCAAAGTCGACCATGCGACTACCGAGTACCAACCGTTTAGAAAATCATTTTATGTCGAAGTACCTGAAATAGGTAGGTCATCCACTCAAATTCTTATTACTAGACTGCGGATGGTTATGCATTTATGACAAATTTAAATATGCAAGAATATACAAGGATACGTATTAATGCACGAATATATAAAATGTGAAAAATAAAATATACGGTACAATATTTACAGGACAATTCATACTTTAATTTAGATTCCTGTTCTTTATCTGTGTTTACCTAAATATGAATTTGCATAAACATCCGCAGTCTATTTATTACAATTCTCACACAATATTTCTATTCTCAAGTTCTTTAACATTTTCAGCGAGAATGACATCCGAAGAAGTAGAAGCGTACAAAGAAGAATTGGAAGGTATTCGCGTGAAAGGAAAGGGCTGTCCTAAACCTATCAAGTCATGGGCACAGTGTGGCGTAACGAAGAAAGAGTTGGAAGTGCTGAAGAAACTGAGCTACGAGAAGCCAACTCCTATCCAGTGCCAAGCCATTCCAGCAATCATGTCTGGTCGCGACCTGATAGGCATAGCGAAGACGGGCAGCGGGAAAACGTTGGCGTTCCTACTACCAATGTTTAGGCACATTCTCGATCAACCTCCCTTGGCGGATGGCGACGGCCCGATCGCGTTAATCATGACACCCACCAGAGAATTGTGTATGCAGATTGGGAGGGACTCGAAAAAATTTACGAAGTCGTTGGGATTATCACACGTCTGCGTCTACGGTGGAACAGGTATATCCGAACAAATAGCGGAGTTGAAGAGAGGCGCCGAAATAATAGTCTGTACACCAGGGAGAATGATCGACATGCTTGCTGCTAATAGTGGCCGAGTGACGAACTTACGCAGGGTGACCTACGTGGTACTCGACGAGGCAGACAGAATGTTCGACATGGGTTTTGAGCCCCAAGTGATGCGCATCATGGAAAACGTTCGACCTGATCGGCAAACCGTTCTATTCAGCGCTACATTTCCCCGACAAATGGAAGCACTGGCTAGAAGAATCCTAACGAGACCCGTAGAGGTTCAAGTTGGAGGACGGTCCATCGTTTGCAAGGACGTCGAGCAACACGTAGTAGTCCTTGAGGAGGATCAAAAGTTCTACAAGTTGCTCGAGATTCTTGGCCACTACCAAGACAAAGGTTCCACTATAATATTCGTTGACAAACAAGAGAACGCTGACACACTTCTGAAAGATCTTATGAAGGCTTCCTACTCGTGTATGTCTCTTCATGGCGGTATCGACCAATGCGATAGGGACTCGACCATATTAGACTTCAAAGCTGGACGAACGAAATTATTGGTTGCAACGTCCGTCGCTGCGAGAGGTTTGGACGTCAAACACCTTGTTCTCGTGGTGAATTATGACTGTCCAAATCATTATGAAGATTACGTCCATAGGTGCGGAAGAACGGGAAGAGCTGGTAACAAAGGGTGAGTTCTTATATAATAGTGGGAAATCGTTTAGAACAGGGATGAACAATCTATGACCCGTCAGTAGCCTATCATGCCATAATAACTGATTCATTAATCATTTGTAGAGTCTAGTAAAAATAGTTTAGTAAAAATAGTTTAGAAAAAATAGTTTAGTAGAATCAGTTACTCTAGATAAGTTTTTCCTTCAGAATGCTTGGAATGAAGAAATTGTTACAGTTTGGAAACATGGTAAAATGTTTATACGAATCAACTTCATTGTTTTTAGTTCGCTAAGGTGTTTTAAAGTGTTACAATCAATAATAAAAAATTATCTTTCTATTAATTACAATAAACATATCATACCTTTTGGGTTGATAAATTTCAAACGCAGAAATTTCCTTCCTTTTAGAAACTCGTCTTTGATGTAGTGTAAAAATCACCATCTTAGTACTACAAAATTGACATAATTCTTATTTACAGGTACGCGTACACGTTCATCACATCAGAACAGGAACGATACGCTGGCGATATTCTCCGTGCTCACGAATTGGCGGGAGTTCCCGTTCCAGAACCGTTGCGCCAGCTTTGGGAAGGATACAAAGCCCGACAAGCAGCTGACGGGAAGAAAGTGCACACAGGAGGTGGTTTCAGTGGTAAAGGATTCAAGTTTGATGAGTCAGAGGCAGCCCTGGCGAACGAAAAGAAGAAATTCCAGAAAGCAGCTCTGGGACTGCAAGACTCCGACGACGAGGACATAGAAAATGACATAGACCAGCAGATAGAGAGCATGTTGGCGCCAAAGAGAACGGTTCGCGAAATCGCTAGACCCTCTGCCACCAATATTGCGGTTCCTGGCCAACCGGTCCCTAGCGCAACCGATAAATTGGAATTGGCTAGGCGATTAGCGTCCAAGATCAACATTGCCAAAAATTTGGGAGCTGAAGCGAAGGGTGCGACGCAACAGGCTGCTGAGGCTATTCTCAAAGGAGCTGGTCCCACTAATCTCATCACAGCGAAGACTGTCGCTGAGCAGCTTGCTGCGAAGCTGAACACCAAGTTGAACTATCAGCCTCGCGAGGAAGATCTCGTGGAGAGCGACGCAGAGGCTGGTGAACAGACGTTTCGTAAATACGAAGAAGAACTGGAGATCAATGATTTCCCACAGCAGGCCAGATGGCGAGTTACTAGCAAGGAAGCTTTCGCGCAAATTTCCGAGTACTCCGAAGCTGGTCTCACTGTTAGGGGCACTTACATCGCTCCTGGCAAGGCTCCACCGGAAGGGGAGAGAAAGTTGTACCTCGCCATCGAGTCCACTAGCGAATTAGCGGTCAGCAAGGCCAAGGCTGAGGTCTCGCGACTCATCAAGGAAGAACTAATCAAGTTGCAAGCGTCAGGGGCACACACCGCGTCCCGCGGTCGATACAAAGTTTTGTAAAGAAGTTCTATTTCAATTGTATATGCAATCTTACGCGTTACAGTACATTGATTTCATCGAACTGCGTATGAGTAAAATTAGAGATTTATTATTAAACTTACAAATGACTATACAAACATTTTGTATTTAACGGTACAATAACGAAGTATACGTAACATTTACGGAAGTAACGATCCTGTCAGTAATTCGTCCGTGAGCAATCTAAATTCACTGACACCGCGTAGCTTTGTCGTTTGAAACTCGGACCATCGATGATTTTAGTGATCTCGTGTTGCGGAATTTGGATTGCTCGAAAGAGTATTTTCTATCGACTATCGTATCTGCGAAGATACAATGGGAGATTCGGCGGACACGTTGTTTGGTAACTTAAGTTAGGAGGACTTTATTTACAATTTGCATAACCACTCAGCCTTCGGGTGATTATGTGTTTTTGTACACGTTCCACGTACTCCGTTTTCTTTGGCAATATTAAAAGATCGACGAAAATACATTCTACTTTCCTGTATATTACGTAGGCACTAGAAGAATCACAGTCATGAAATCGGCGTCGCCACGAATGGCAAACGTCAGTAGGTAAATGAAAATGCTTAGCACCTTTTGAAAATACGTGCGATCGATGAGGATTTGCACTCGTTGGGGTAGCCTCGGCGTTACCTCTCATACCCTCTCCTTCCCCTTACAGTTTTCACGAGATAAAAGCACGGACAAAGGTTGCAAGGAAAAGTTGTACGAGACATCCCCCGATCGTGATGGCACCGGATACGTAACTATGAGCAATTTCCGCTCCTGTGAGCGCACCCAACGGCACCTCGATCGCGATTTTAGGGCTCCTCTCCAAAATTCTGGTAACTAGCTTCTCAGTCTCTGTTACGCAAGCTCGCAGCTGCAAGGTCGAAGGCCTTATCACCGTAGGTTGAACGATGATGAATATGTCGAGGTCAGGCGTCATCATTCCGCGAAGAGCGCACTGTGCTACCTGGATTTGTCTTCCTAGAGCGGTCAGCAGAGCTTCCAACGTCACAGAGTCCTTGTCCGCCTCCTCGTCCATCGTGTAATATATCCTGTCCAGCTGTTTAACAAGAAATACAATTATTGTACATATTGTTCGCACTAGGGAGCTGAAGCGAAGCGATTTATTGGGGATGGTAGAATACTATTTGGTCTTTGCAAATTGATTAAAATATTTAATATACAGGGATGGTGGTAGAACCTAGCTGTGGCTGGAAAAATAAATCCAAACTACAGAATAACATTTCTTTGTATGAGACATCATTTCCTAGAAAATTGAGTTTGGAAATTGTTCTAGTATAAGTGTAAATTTCTATTTGTCAGATTTTTGTTACTCCTCGCATTTGTATTTATAAACATATGCAATGTATTTTAATACCTGTTATCATTTTTACACAAATATTTTTTATAAGAATATAAGAGTAATGTATTAGCTTTTTTAGAAGTACATATAGAAATTGTTCAAAATTTCGACCATGATGCTGCATACAATACAATAATTATGCTCTTTGAACTAAATTATTATGCACTTCTTACAGTGCATTCTTTGTATCTTTATTCTTCTAAGGCCAAACAATGTTTGCTTTTTGATTCTTTAAAATTTCTATTGCTTGTGGTATCTTTCATTTAACAAAACCTCGTAAAAAATCAAATGGTGCTAAATCTGGAAATAACGTCATCTAAACTAGTCAACAATTAATGTATTTGTATTTTTTATAAATACAAACACAAATTTTAAAGTATGAAACATTGTTCATTGTTCATTGTTCATTGAAATGTTCAAACATTGTTCATTATTCTGGGACTTACTTTCTGATAATAGAACAGAGTGATTGACAAAACTAAACATATAGTTTATAGCCCTATATAGTTTGAATTCAGGTTTAAAATTAGCACCGCCAAAAACCGTTGCATACCAAGTTTTTTGAAAATTGTTCTAAAAGAACAATTTATATTTGTACCTCTTTTAACCTTCAACATTCGAGGGGCGATAATCTTTTTTCACAAATTCTTTGCTTATTCGTTTAGAAAACATTAAATGGTATATTTTGAAATAGCAATAAAATTTGTTCTTCTCATTCAACATCTGTGGCAGAAACTTGTGTTTAAAAAGTCTCTATTCTTTTGAAAGTCCCAATGTTCTAATGAACTTTAAATTAGAATGAATACCTACAACGAAATCAAGTGAAATGAGGATGAAGTGTATACAAAAGACAAAACTAATGGGCAAATCCACAGATCTTTTAGATTTGCAATTTCGAGCCTTTATTTAACGTTATCTTCTGATGTTTCAATATTTTAACTATCATATGGACGTTTTCAGTGGAAGGGATGCTAAAAGAAGATTTCCATGGGCTTTGTAAATTTTGTAAGCTATCTAAGAAGCCAGAAAGTCGTTAAAAAATTAAAATTTTTAAAATAGCCTTGTGACTGTTAATTTTCAAATATTTTAAGATAGCTGTAGGAGCGCCGTCAAATATTTTGATATGGGAATAATTGGAAAAAATTGCAGGAAATGAACCTGTAAATCTCATGTATGTGCTATCATTGTATAAATAGTTACACGACCATGGAAAACATGTGACCAACTTTCATTAATTTTTCACTTTTGCATTATTGTGTTTTACGAAATTTACGTCGTCAATTTTTTTTCATTTCTAATCCTTGAAGTTTGTTTATCCTATAAAGAGAAACTAATCCCGACAACCCAGATTATTTTTTATATAGATTTTTTTCAGTGAGCTAGAGTCGTTTGAAAATTTTGTCTAAAAACGTGATCGATATAAAAATTTCAGTTTTACATGAAACACATTCAAAATAAACTTTTTTTGAATTTTACTTCCTGACATCCACACCGTCAAGTTAAAATCGATCACGCACACAGTTTTTGTTACGTCTTGAGAGTATGAATGTGTGTACTAAATATTAAAAATGTGTTGAAAAAAATTTTTCTTTTTAATAACAAATCTAAAAGTTTTGTGGATTTGTCCTAATATGAAAAAACATTCTTTTTCCAAGATAGTAAGATACACAACATGGTAAAATATAATACTCTCACACTGTGCCTAGAATGAAGTTGATAGTTGTCCATCACAAAGGGTTAATGAACTTTGAAGGATGGTTTCACTCCCTATGAAAACTCGTTCACCATCTTTTGCATGCATACAAAATTTTAAATAAAAAGGGAGACAGACACCAAGAAGTTTCTCTTTGTAAGTTGTAGACTGTCCCCCAATATGCCATTAGTTAAAGCGTGAAAATAATAAAAAATATAAATACTCTATATTAAATATTTTTATCTAGGTCGCAAAGACGAACAAAAAGAGGTCTCCAAGCGTAACGTCGACTTTTTAATTAGTTTCTTAGAGTGGTACATATTAAAGAGCTAAAGCTAATAGTACATAGTTTTGGGGGCAGACGGTTTATAGTAGATGGTGTACTTTATGAGTAGAATCCGGATTGTATGCATTTATAATACAATCTATAATAAGAAATGTATACTAAACATAATCAAAAGTTACATGCACTTATGCAAAACGAAATATTAACATTATTACATTAATACTAGAATATACTTTTGCGATGTTATCCATATTAGTGTACGTCAGAAATGCATAAAATCCGCAATATACTTATGAGATATACTACATTGAAACAATTACTACTGTTATTTAAAGATATGTAGCTACTAATGTTAGGAGCAACTGTGGTCAGTAAAGCGTCAGCCTTTTAATAGAATACAAGTTTTCTTTTTATCGTGGTTTCGATCACGAATTGAACAAATTTTACTACTAGCTTCAATTCTTCATCATCTATCACTATGCAAAAGCTAATTAACACTAAATCTACTGACATTTCATTTCTGCCTATTTCTACTGTAATTGGTAAAATGACTGGTCTTAAAGGCACTTTTTCCAGTTGAATGTAAAAATGTATCACACAATATTAAATTAAATAACACATCAAACAATTTATATAACTGATGTATTTTATATAAGAACTATGCACAAAAATTTGAAAACGGTCATTTGACTAGTCGTGGTAGGTTTAGTGTTAAAAAGTAATTGTGACGCTTGGAGGCCTCTCCTTCTGAGCAATGTTTTACTGTCGAAGAAACAATGTTGATAACTAGACTGCGGATCTTTATGTAAAATAAAATCTTCGCGAACGTGCTTACAAAAATTGAACCTAAATAGGAATTTATTTTATTCTTAAAATATTATAACATGAACTTTACTTCCAATCTTTTTTATATTCTTGCATAGTGTTTGCATTTTGTAGTTTCTTGCACATTCGAATTTCCTATAAATGCATAAAGATCTGCTGTCTATTGATAACATTTGAATCTCAAACAGCACCCAACAAAAGGAATATCGCGTACCTGTTTCTTGGAGTAGAACAGCTTGGCCGCTCCGCCGCATACTGGACAGCATGCACCAGGTGGTGTCACCGCGACGCAGTAGGGCTTTATCAATTGAGGACACTGAACGAGATCGCCGCAACGAGGCTTGGCTTGATCGCCGATCAATCCAACGACGACGCATGGACCAAAGTAGTCGACGACGGTCTTCTCTGCCCAGGCAACGCACTCGTTCGCGTAGACCTCGCCGTTTACTCCACATACTGGCCCTCGCAAGGAACATCCCACCAAGCAGGGTCCTCTGTAGCCTATGGTGGCTCCAGCGTGAATCATGGCGCACATAGAGTGATGCTGGCGGTTCTCTCTGTCGCAAACTGGCCCACTGAACTCCCGAGGATCGCAGTCGAGAGAAACGCATTCGTACTGGCGGCAGGGCTTATGGAGTCTGGACAAGCAGACCCTCGTCCTCCTGACGCACTTCTCTGTGCTATCGCAAGGGTTGGACGCGCAGGGATCTCTGGAAGAACAGCTGCCGAATTCCACTTCGTTGGGGGAGAAGTCTGCGCACTTGGCCAGACACCCTGAAGCGAAAGTGAAGCCTAATCTTCCACAGACAGGGACGTAGTGAGCAGGACAATCGCAAGGCAACGAGAGGGCTCGCACCTCCCCGCAGCTCCTCTTCGAACACGTGAATTCTCCCTCGAAACAATGACAAGGATTACATTCCAGGTAAAAGTTGGCCTTGTGAGCAATAAAGCGGTCGTGCACCCAACAGGAGTGGAACTTGAAGCAGTTCAGCGTCTTACAGTTCACCATCCCTCGTGTCGTGCACTGGCAGATCCTGAGGCAGCCTTGCTGATCGAATCGGGGTATCTGTACCCAGGATCCCATAGGCACCAACTGCTTCGACATTTCTCCTAAGGAACAGCCTGGCACGCAACGGTAGATTTCGCGTCCGAGGGGTGATAACTCGCAGACATCGCCTTGGGCACAGGGATTGCTTCTGCAGGGTGTCATGATATCCTCTTCGAGGCGTACGACCGGTTCGGTGTCGCGAGGATCCTCCAGGAACGGCCTCAAGGAGACGCAAGGGGCATCTGATTTTCCTGGCGATAGCTTCGCGCACAAAGCATTGGCTGTATAGGGTCCAGTAATGGCGGACCAGTCTACGCAGCTGGCCATCAACTCTAGACAGTCCTCTCGACAAAGTCTCGTCTCATGGATCCTGTTCTCACATGGTCTCAGTTGCAACAGACAGGCGGCTGCCCGCAACGTCTCTGGCGGGCAAGAAGCGGCTGCGCGAACGGGTACACCTAGGCCTCGAACGATTCCACCTCTGGACCAGTGGTCGGCTTCCCATTTGGCTGCTTCGTCGGCTGCTGCTGAACAAGTCCTAAGGACCAACGAAAAATAAGAGTTAGATTGTAGGAAAAGTAGGCATGTCAAAGACTTTCGAAGGAAAGGTGGCTTTTTATGGTTGAAAGCCATTCTGGTTTTTCACTTTTAAATGTAATCAAACGGAAGTGAGTAAATGATTGAAGACGACAGGCTTTGTGCTTGATTACACTATTCGCTGAGCTACGGGATTGTGTTAGCGTTTGATTACATTGGTCGCCGAGCTATGAGATTAGTTTTGCGTTAATAATAAATTAGTTTTGCCTTTTCTGTATTCTAGTAAGTCGGGTTTCAACCACTGTCGGTCAATCTATGATTGAGGACCTGTAAGTTTTTTATTGGACTTTTGTATTTGATGACACGGGACAGTTATACTTAAGAACATGAAATTTTCAGTTAAATTAAAAAAAAACTAGACAAGAATAGACATTTATACAACGCATAAGACTGGAGTTTGGAGTGGTATTGGATCTTCGACCTTGAAGAAGAGAAGAAGTGTGTGGTAGCGAGGAGAATGCAGCGTTATGAACTCAACACGGATTTTGCGGTGGCTTTTTTAACGAGAGTTTTTATTTAATACCACGAGCAGTTATATTTAAAAATATATTCTTTTCAGTTACATTGTGGATTTCGATATCTGGATTGGTATTCTGGTATTGTTTATTAAAAACTTTACTAATATAAAAGACCCAAGAGACACATAAGAGTGGAGCTTAACTGAAGTTTCAAGAATGAAGGGAAGGCTAATTCTTCTAGCATCGAGTTTGCTGACTTTGGAGGGTATAGCCATTATCAGTTCCAAATACTACTGTAGGTAATTTCCAGGTATAATACATTTTCCAAGTATAATACAGTCGTACTCCTAATAGTATTATATTAAATTCCAGTTGTAAGAAATAACCCAAGAGAAAACGTCTTTAACTGGAGTTAAACGAGGGTTTGTGTATAAGCTATTAATCACTACAAATACGCTGAAAACTATAATTTTATTACAATTTTTTTGTAATTTACCTTTAAAAGGCCATAATTTTATTACATTTTTTTTGTAATTTAGCCTTAAAAAACTGAACGAAATTTCATAATTCCTCATTTTCATCTCTATTATATCCCATAGAATCATTCTCTAAAATATTGTATACCCATAGGTGAGTATCCTGTGTAGAATTCATAGTAGTCAATGGTCAGAGTTCGGATTTTATCTGCGTACTTTATCTGCCTAGGTACAGTATAAGGTGCCCGTGCGAGTTGAACATGTTTAAGTTACAATAAGAACAGGAAGAGTTCCTTGACGGAAGAGTGGTTTACCTGAACAACGTCGTCGATCTGTCGTTGAATCGAGCGCAATAAGACAGTCCAGAGCAGCCCATCTCGCAGGGGTCTTCTGCATCCTCGAGACACCTTCTCAACTCTCCCTCCAAATTGGAGGACAGGCATTCCCCATCCAACTGAACCCACGCTACCTCCCAGTCAGCCTGAAACGCTCTCCAGCACAAATTCTGACACGATGGCTTCGTTGCTTTCGTACAGCACGATAGTTTGCCAGCGTCCAGTGGCAAACGCGCCGGTTTCGAGGATCCAGACTTTAGCAGACAACTCCAGATTGGTGTCTGTGGTAAAACTGGTCTACACTTTTCCGACAGAGCGTCCATGATCTCCTGCTCTGTGGTGGCAGTGTGGAGGACTCTTTTGCAAGTTTCCAGACAAGCTGGAGTAACAGCCTCGTTACAGCAATGCAGATCTGTCGTGAAAAGACATTTAAGTACTCATAACGATTAAAAAGAATGACGTTTTAAAGCTTTCATTCGGATGGGGGCAAAATTCTTATCTAGATAGTATACGGAGTGCTCTGCGTAAAGTCTAACATTGCGGTTTCTAGAAACTAGTGAAGAGATTGACCTCATCATGGGTGCTAATCTCTTAATACGTTGATCGCCAAGCTATTCAGAATTAATAAATTTAGTTCCTTAGTAAAAAGTTCCGTCACCCATAAATGGGTTTTTCTATTAGAAATTAATTGTATTAAACTGTGTTTGACTATGAATCAAATATCAAAACCATAGATAGATAAAAAGGACCAATTAGTATCTGTAGCAAGTCCCAGCGCAAATGGTGTTCATTTTTTTTTTTAACATACAGTTAGTCCCATAAATATTTGTACCCTCTATGTATGTTGAAGACTTGGATCGAAATTAAATAGTGAGTTAAATAGTGAGTACTTCACACATGTTCATATTTATAATGAAAAATTTCTTTGAAAATATCAAACTTTTCATTTAATTGTAATGTATTGTAATGTGAATGTTGGATGAATATTTATATTTAAATCACTAGGTATGTTTGTATGTTTATAGTTGTCACTTATGTTTATCAATTTGTGTTAGTAATTTATTGATTAGTCATTCAATTTGTATTGCGATTTGATTTTGTCTGATAGATTGTGTGTTGTTTTGGAATTTTGACAGTTTTCGGCGAACATCTAAATAAATATCCTTACATAATTTAAACAAATTTCTTCGATAGACATGCGAATACTTATGGGACTGCATGTTCCTGTGTGTTTTAATTGTAATCTAGTAAACACCACCCAGATATATTCACCTGAACATACATTAGGTCGATCAAAAAGTTCGTTTGGTTTGTGGTGATGATTGTCTCTCTGGAATACAGATGGTTATTAACTTGATGAGGACTTCTACAAACGTGGAATCATGAATTTGTCCAAAATATGAGGAAAGGTCATAGAATGAAATGGATGATATGTTATAGAAAGACTGCGAGGGTTTATGCTTCTCATGGTAAAGTGAAATACGGGTAAATCTATGAGAATGTTGATAAATGCATACATTCATGAAATATCAATAATAATATACATTTTATACAGATTAGAAACTAAAACATACTTTCATTTATGTCTCTATTCTTCTTCTGTATGAGTGAAAGTATGAATTTGCATAAACATCCGCGTCTAGTTACAGAGTAAATATATTTCTTTGTATAAGAAAAATCGTTGTTAGTTTGTGTGTTAAAATCCGAAGGACCTTTTTTGTCAACCTAATATGTTCCACTGAGGTCCAAAGGGTTGAGATGCATGAATTAGATACGACACCATGTATATGTATAAGTTCTTCTAGCAATATTCTCTTAATTGAGCTGGTGATATGTCTACTTGTATGTGTTTGCATTCATCTTCCACTTACGTTGTTTGGGATCTTCGGCGTGTTTCACCTCAGCGACGCTTTTCAAGCACTTTGGAACCTGATGGAAGCAACCTTTGCTACTGTACATCTTTAAATTCGAGATTTTCCCGGGTTTGTAGAATAGATCCCGACATATGGATCTGCAGGTATCATTGGACACGTTGCTACAGCAATGCTCTGCTTCCACGCGTCTTTCCAAACACGAGAAAAACTCGGGCTCGTCGCTCGGCCGACAGGATTCGGTCAGGTGTCTTCTAGACCCTGATACGACGCATGTGGATCTACATATCGGATTCTGCGCCAAGTAGCAGCAACCCCTTCCTGTCCAATTTTCATGTTTCTTTATCTCTGTAAAAGAGATGATGAGATTGAAACTATTTGACTGAACAAAAGTTGGCTCACGGATTGTTCAGGTCCTCACCATTTAAAGTTGAGTTGGCGCAGCCCCAGAACTCCGTCTGAAAGGAAGAATAGAGATGAGTCGAAGACTAGAAATATCCAGGTGTAGAATGCAATAGAAGTTTGGAATGTTCTTTATCGTTGAATATTTTCTAGATAGACCTTTTTCAATTATTTATGTAATGATAGGTGTATACATTGAATATGTTAGGGATAGAAATTAATTCTATCCCTTTCTAAAGTAAATTTACTATTCATCTATAAAGAAAAGTCATACAACTTTTGATCTTCCCTCGGTTACACCTTCCAAGGGAGCGCTATGTATAGTTATCTGTAGCATAAAATGTCAAAGCAATCTGTACTTCCATTACTATAAACGCTGGTTCTCTAACATAACAAAATGGTCAGTATACATTTCTATGTTAACTAGAATTATAAATAATTATGTAAATATAAAGACACAGAATTAATTTCTATATCTAATAGTTGTTAAATACACTAGTAATCTTTAAAGAACAACTTTGTGTCAGTCAATATTCACAGGGAATGAATGAATCCAATGGAATGGATTTTGAACAAAGAAGAAAATTACTAAGTCTGAAACACGCACTGAAAAGTGCTTCCACCGCAAACAATTCTGATTTCTGTTACATGTTCACTAACGGATAGTAAGCCAGTCATTTTAGACACCAAACATTGCAGTAAATACTATAAAGTTACTGTTTTTATATGTTGTTAGGAACCACTCAGATAGTATAAATCTAGATTTGCAAACCTCAGAAACGTGAGTCAGCTAAGTTACAGCTTAAAAACCGCAAAATTTTCGCACTTTTTCTAGTTTTTCGCAAAAAAGTTACCAAAGGAGTATCCTGACAAGAAAAGGCATTGTTACCTTTTTTCAAGTAGATAAAATTTCCTACAATTTGAGATGCGTTGGCGCTCTATAGCTCTCTTACAAGGAAAGCTTTTTAGGTGTCCGCCTCGATTGTTTTGATTTTTGGATATGTTTTAAAGGACCGAAAAATAAGATATACATATTTTTTTATGTTGGCCCGTTTTCATATTTAGGGTGTAAAATGACCCCCTAAAGTTTCAGCTGCAATAGTCTATCTTCGCAACTATTATAGATAAAAGAAAACTTTTTAAGAACAAATTTCATGGATTTCTATCTGCATATAAAATCTGGCCGTAAATTGTGAAAAAAATTAGTTGTTTATAACATTATTTTAAAAGTAATCATAACTTATATAATAACAAAAAAGAATATACATTTTTTTCTAAATCGATTGATGTAAAATTTATAATATTGATATATAAATCTAAATCTAATAATTTATTATTATTGATCTATAAATCTAAATCTATCGTATACCATGTTTGCCTTTGTCGTTTACATATTTGCGTATTAACCCTTTGCGGTCATATGTTTACTCTCAACCACCAAAACTTGTTTACCGTTCCGGTCGTATGTCTGCTCTCAGCCACCACAACAAAGAACCATACTAATCTTATATTGTATTCCGCAGACCGAAAAGATTTAAGCCACTAGACAGTAGTAACAGGTTCTAAGATATTAGTGTAATAATAGATACATAGAAACATTAATGAAAAGATCGTTAGTAATTATATTATTAAGTTATACAAGAATACATGAACCAGTCGGTGAAATATCTACATGTTAAATTTTTCAAAGACATGTAGCGACTAGCGCGTACCGAAAATAACGGTTCACGTGCAAACAGCTAGAATGGTTTACGACAAGCAAAGGACAAAGCTATTTTTGAGAAAGCCGTATTTTTCTGTTATTTACAGATGTTTGTTTCCTCGCGACAATTAGCTACGGCCTCAATAGCATATTGCAAATGTCGTAAACCATGGGTCTTCCAAAGGCCTGCCAGGCAAAGTCAAGCAACCCTCAACGGGTGACGATGCAAGGCTTGAGGCCCGGAGGAAATCCTGCTGCATTGCCAAATTTCCAACGGTGATAATCCCCCACCTCAGCACACCCCGTTCCCGAGGGATGCGCTAAGGGCGCAAGGAAGAGGTGGTGTGTGAGGAAATTTGAAGGACGATCAATCTTCAATGAGTCGTCCTGTTGATTTGACGAGTGGTCAAGTTCGACCGTTAGAATCCGCGAATAAACAGTGATTGCAAAATAGAATCCTAGTTGTTCCTTCATCCTCACGTCCTACAGACAAATATATTGAATATTGTTATTTTTTCGGTAACAGACTGTAATAAATACCAAATAGTCAAAAATACTTTTTAGAATTCCAAATAATATTTCACAAATTGTGTTTCAGTGTAATTAGGCATTCTGGTTTCTTAACACTTTATTGACCGGGAGACTATTTATAGGCTTTTTAATTGCAGTACTTAGTTATTCGAATTTATTTACTGTGTTGATGGTTGTCTACGAACAATGTTCAGTGTTTGGTAACAGACTTGGCTTTCAATGTACCTAGTAACAGTATGAAGGAATTATTGTCAGCCTAGATTGGCATATGCTACTGTAGAAAATTCTTTTTTTTTATTAAAGTCTGCTTCTAAATAGCCCGGTAGACAAAGTGTTAAAATATTTCGGAAACAATACTCCAAAATGGCAAGAAGAAAATTACCGAAAGATACCACATGATGGAGAACTATAAAATATAATTTTACATAAAAACGTTACATTAAAACACATTATTGTGTAAACATGTATCTAAAGTTCACAAAAGAATTAATTAATCTTGTTTATTCTTCATAAGCTTGCATATAATGTATCACTGCTCGTTCATCGGAAATTAATTCCGACCAGGACAATAGACATGCCTAAATTAAATACGACCACAAAGGGTTAATATTATACGTATATGCATCGTGCAGATACGCCGTGTCGCGGTCATAGCAGATATGGATATCCATTATAATATCTGACGTTTACCGTCTATAATAGGCATTATTAAAGTTATTTATAGCTTAAATATTAATAAAGTTTATTTTATTACTTATATTTTTTACAAGATTTATGCAGTTTGTGAAATAATTTGTCTAATATTTATATTTTTCGCAGCTAAACGGTGAAGCTAAACGGTGCATAAGAGAAGCTATACGGCTCTACATAGAACGATTCCCTAATCGTATATGTCTATCGCCTTTGTTGTTGTCTAACATATTAGGTGGACCGGAAAGTAGTGTCGTTTCTGCGACACTCGATACCTGTTTATCATTCATCAGCTCATTAATTTTTATCGATGTAGCATTGAAAATTTGCACAATGGATGGCAAAAAGCTATTTATAGCAAGGGTGATTACATAATTGATTAAAAGCAGAAACTTATTAAGAATGTATTTGTTTGAATTTAATGTGAAAGAAATGACGTTACTTTTCGGTTCCCCTAATAATTAAAAGATTCGAACAAAGTGGCAGTGTTGAAAATAAGAAGCGACAGAGATCTAAAACTGTTACCTGTTTCTCATCATAGCAGTAGAACTTTTCGCTAAATTGCATGATTCTAAGAACATCCTTATTTTGTTTATTATATATTTGAAAATACATGGATGTGTATTTCTATTGGACATGTATACATAAACACTGTACCTACGAGTGTACATTAGTATTAACAGTATTAGTTTTCTTTTTGGTTAGTAATAGCTTAATTAGTAATAGTTAATAGTTTTCTTTAAATGCGTGAATTACACTTTTTTATGAAAAAGAAAATGTATAGACGAACCCTATGATGTTTAGCTTAGCAACTAGCATCTTGATAATTTCAATATTTGGAAGTACCATCCTTATTTTCTCACGAAATAAGAAACAAAACTACATATCACCTTTACTCTGTCATTCGCTATATACCGTGCCGTGCAAAAGTTCTCGGCCAGATGGTTTTGCGATTTTTCTTCCAAAAGAAAAGTATTAAAAAAGTTTTAATAGATCTAAATTAAATCTAAATTTAATCTGTTCGGCAGCGATGGAAGAAAATACAGTGGGTGTAGAATGTATGTATTCGTACACCGATCACTGGTGCTGGCGCTACCGCGTATCTTTTACTCGAGAAAACGCGATTCCAACCTAACCCAAAACTTCTGTCATTAATATGTCATCACGCCTGTAATAGTTTCTAACTTTAAACGCATTTTCTTATGTAAATCGCATATAAGCTTTTGAATAAAACCAAAATCAATAAAATCGGTCTATGTACAACTGAGATACCGTAATATCATGTCATGAATCGGTCAGAAATTGTAGATTTTTCTTCTGATTCTAATTCTGATTCTTATTCTTATTCTTTTCGTCAACACTTATTGTTAGCCAATAGGAGCTAAGGCTACTCGTCGATTCGTCGACTCTCGGAATCTGTCGGCAAGGCTCGTCGGTCGGAATTGTAATATGGCTGTCACTCATGCCGCTCGTTCATTTCTAACCTGTAACTGTCAGTTTGCATTTGTGACATTTGGTTTCTTGCAACAAGACTTTCTGACATGCATTGTGCGTACTTTTGAAAACTTAAAGGACTGAAACTGGAATTATAATACAATAAATTGTGCGTTTTCAATAGTGGATCTTTTTGTACATTTTCCCACTTTATTTATTAACATTTAAATTTGTGACAATAAAATTTTCTGCCACGCGTTGTGCATACTTGTGAATTTTATTCTAATACAATAAATTGTGCATTACACATAGTGGATCTCTTTCTTTATTTCTCATTTCATGTTTAAAATTTCAACTTCTAGCAACAAGACATTTTGCAATGCGTTGTGTGTACTTTGGAAGCATAAAAGATAAACTGGTATTATAATATAATAAATTGTGGGTTAGAAATAGTGTAGACCTCTTTTTTTGTTTCATACTTCATTTTTAACGTTTAAGTTTGTTACAACAAGACATTTTGCAATGCGTTGTGTGTACTTTGGAAGCATAAAAGACTGAAACTGGTATTGTAATATAATAAATTGTGGGTTAGAAATAGTGGACCTCTTTTTCCATTTCATACTTCATTTTTAACATTTAAGTTTGTTACAACAAGACTTTCTGCCATGCGTTCTGTGTGCTGTTGAAAACTTAAGGGACTGAATCTGGTATTGTAATATAATAAATTCTGCGTTATTCATATGACATTAATTTTATTTGTAAATAACACATACAAACCTTATTTTACTTACAAATTAATGTAGACCTTAAAATAAAAATACATTTGTCTTTTATTATAGTAAGCGTAGAGTCTGCAATATACATAATCTGTCTGAAGCCAGATATAGGAAAGAGACCAGCTTCAGTTTTTTAAGTTTCCAAAAGTATACAGAACGCATGGCAAGATGTCTCACTGCAAGAAATTTAAATGTTAAAGATGAAGTGAGAAATGAAAAAAAGAAATCAACTATTTGTAACGCATAATTTATTGTATTAGAATAAAGTTCAGAAGTACGCAGAACGCATGGCAGAAAGTCTTGTTGCAAGAAATTCGAATGTTAAAGATACAGCGAGAAATAAAGAAATAAATCCACTATTTGTAATCCACAATTAATCGTAATGCAATATCAGTTTCACTCCTCAGAATTTTCAAAAGTACACACAATGTATGGGAAAAACTTTTATTGCAAGAAATTTAAATAATGAGAAAATGAACAGAGATCCACTATTTGTAACACATAATTTATTGTATTACAATAAGATAGAAAAAGAGATATCAAAC